TACATTAACTAGTACTTATTTAGGAAATAATTATATAATATTATGTTTAGATCTTGATATTGATATTTAACTTATAAATTCTTAAAATTCAGAATTCTAAATTATTTTTTAACAGTAGCCTCAGAAAATATATTTGAATTTTGGTCTTTGAAAAGTGAGAAATATGAGATCATATAAGGTTAAGCTGTTTTTGGAAAAAACAACGAATGTAACCTTTGATAGACTTGAAATCAGAATCTGTAGTACTCAAGCCACTAGGGAAGATAAAAGCAAACAAAGATTCTGCAGAACACAGAAAACAAAGGAACCAGAAAGACAGCATAATATGAAATGATGAAAGCAAGAACAACCTATTAGCTAAATATATTTGAGTTATAATTTCTTACTAAATGACAACATTTGTAATTAAAATAGAATTAAAATATTACTTTTAAGAGTCACATCAAAAGGCAAATAATAGAATAAATGGATTAATAAACATTTTTCAAAGGAAAGTAGAAGAGTTAATAATAATTTTGGATAAACAAGACAAATAATAACGTATTTGAATAAAGTGAGTATCACAAACTTTCACTTTGAAATTTGAAATAACAGATAATTGTTGAGGAAAATGTAATTAATTGAAGAAGTAGAATGCATGAATAAATCAATTCCATTTACATTTTCTTCAGTTACCAACAAATTATCTTGAAAACATTTTTTACTCTTTTAACTAGTGAAATTCCTTCACATTTTTGTGGAAGGAAAATATCAGTGTTAGACCAGGACAAAAGAAAAGACCACTGACTCCAATTAAAATCAAATTAAACCAAGCTTATTATTTCGGCTGGCTGGGGTGCCTATCCCTCCCAAAATGGCGGGAACAAGACAGCATCCCAGCTTTCCTGCAGCCCAGCTTTATATCCCAGAAAGTTACACAAAGGGGGGTTACAGATAACAGAACTCTGACAAGCATCACACTAATGGTAGTTTACATTTTTTGCTGGCCYCAACATCAGAATTTATGAGGACCATTAGAGCCTCAGAGAGGGTCGTTGTCTGGCCAGGGAAGGCCAATATTTATGAGGTGTCACTAAGTTTCAGAGAGGGCTGCTATCTGGTCAGAGAGCCAGGCATGGGTGAGTTCAAGGCACGGGCAGGCATTCCAAGCAGGTTCAGAATTTGCAGTAATTGATAGTAAAGCCGAAATTATCTTTTCATGGCTTTGTGGCGAGATGCCCAATTTAAAGAAAAGATCAGGTTGGGTCTATCAACAGCCTATGATAGTTATCTGAAATATATATTAAAATAACCTTTTTGAAATAAGGAAAGTAATTCATTTCATGAGTCATGTTTAATTCTCCCTCCAAAGTAAATGACTAAGAGCCTTGGAGATGTAGTTCAGTGGTAGAGCGCTTGCCTTTTCTTATGTAAGACCTTGGGTTTGATCCCTAACACCACAGAAACAAACAAAAAACCAAACTAAACAGCTAGGGTACTTCTATGAACACACATGCATATACTCAAAAAGGAAAATTGCATCAATTGTTGCTTAAGAATGTAAATGCAGAATTTTCAGATGAAAGAAAATTATTATTGTTAAAATAATTATCTACATTACAAAACTAAATAGGTAGGACTAATATCAGTAATAGAGGGGTCCTATAATTTTAGGAAGTCTGCAAAATTAATAAACCAGTGTTTCTAATCAGGAAATCCACATAAATGTGCATTTACCTTAGTGCATAAAAACAAATAAAAATAACCTTAATACCCAGTTCGTTTCTATTTTTTAAAATAAATAGAAAATAATCATAAAATACATTTTTTAAAATTGTGGCACAGCACAACATGAAACCATTCTAACCATTTGTAATTGTGCATTACAATAGTGTCAACTATATATATATATATATATATATTTGTGCAAAAGATCTCTAGAACTTTTTTATCTTCTAAAACCAAAATTCTATCTATTGAACAACTCTTTTTCCCCCTCCTCAACTTCTGTCAATCACTGCTCTCTACTTCTAAAAGTGGAATTATTCAGTATTTCTTTTTGTGACTGATGTAGTTCACTTAGTATAATGTTTGCAAGGTTAATTCATGTTTTAGCATATGAAAGTATTTTCTTTTTAATGTGAAATAATATTCCACTATATATATATAATATACATAGCATAGGAAACATTTTCTTTATCCACTCATCCACAGATAGACTTTTGGGTTGCTTTTACCTCTTGACTTTTATGGATAATACTATAGTGATATTGAGTGTGCAAATATCTTGCTTTTAGATGTTTACTTGGAAGTGGGATTGCTGAAATACAGTAATTCTATTTTTAATTTTTTGAGGAACCTCCCTACTGTTTTTTTTTTTTTTAATAATGACTGCACCATTTTACTTTCTTTCCCACAGTGCCCAAGATTTTTAGTTTTTCCACTTTCTTGCCAACGTTTATTATTTTCAGCTTGTTTTTGGTGGGGGGGGGGATAGTGGGATTCATTTCTCTGATAACTAAAGATGTTGAGCATCTTAATTTTTTGGTTCTGTTTTTCTTTTGGAAAAATGTCTGTTCAATTCTTTTACCCATTTTTAATTGGGTTATTTGTTTTTTGTTGTTAATAGATTTTCTTTATATATTCTGGATATTAACCCCATTAGTGTGTGTATGATTAAGGAATATTTCTCCCATTCTTTAGATTTCCTTTTCTTTCTATTGTTTTCTATACTGTGCCGATGTTTTCAATTTGTGTATTTTTCCTTTTCTTGGTGACTTTGGTGTCATATTCAGTAATCATTGGAAATTCCAGTGACTTGGGAATCTTTATTTGTATATTTGAGGCCCTTAACATTCCCTACAAGTTTTAGGATGTGTTTTCCTACATTTGCAAAAATTGTCATTGTAATTTTGATTGGGATTGCTTTCAGACAGTAGATTACTTTCATTTATAAGCACATTTTAACAATATTAAATCTTCTAATTTGTGAATAGGAAATGTCTTTGCATTTATTTGTGTCTTCTTTATTTCTTTCAGTAATATTTTGTGATTTTCATTGTAAAAGTCTTGCCTTTTTGGTGAAGTTTATTTTTAAGTGTTTTATTATGGATGCTATTATATATGATAGTTTTCTTCCTTTTCAGATTGTTCATTGTTGATTTATAAAATGCAACTGATTATTGTGTGTTGATTTTGTATCCTACTGACTTCAAGTATTCGTGTGTGTGTGTGTGTGTGTGTGTGTGTGTGTGTGTGTGGTGGTTTAATTACAGTTTTCTACATACTGAGTCATATAATCTTTGAAAGTATGATTTTACTTATTTGTCAATTTGGATGCCTTTTCTTTCTTTTTCTTGCCTGATTGCTCTGATACGACTTCTAGAATTATGATGAATAGAAGCAGTGAGAATTGGCATGCTGGCCTCATTCTGATCTTAGTGGGAAAGTTTCTCATTTGAGTATGATATAATAAAAGTGGCCTTTATTATATTGACATAATTTACTTCTAGACATTGTTTGGTGTGTGTGTGTGTGTGTGTGTGTGTGTGTGTGTTTGTTCTTTTGTTTTTTGTTTGGGTACCAGGGATAGAACTCAGGGGCACTCAACCACATCCTCAGCCCTATTTTGTATGTTATTTAGAGACAGGGTCTCCCTGAGTTGCTTAGTGCCTCACTTTTGCTGTGGTTGGCTTTGAACTCATGATCCTCCTGCTTCAGCTTCCCAGCCACTGGGATTATAGATGTACAACACCACTCCCAGATGTGTTTTTGAAAGAATTTTTGTCAGAACATGTTTTATGTGCATCAATTGAAGGTGTTTTTTTCCCGTCCAGTTTGTCAATGTTTTAAATTATATTTCTTTGATATGATGAAAAACATCTTTAAGATACTTGAGAAACAGATTGCATTATGTATAAAATCTTGGCAATCTGAATATATTTTGTGGTTATGCATAAGGAATCAGCAATTATTTGTACAGTTTCCACGTGATTAAATTTAAAGCCATAAGATGTATGAAACAAATTTGTGAGAAACAAATAACATTTAAAATAGAAGTTTGCATGTGTATAAAAATCATAAATTGGGCTGGAGCTCTATGTAACTCAGTGGTAGAGTGTTTGCCTAGCATGCATGTGGTGCCTCAGCACCACATAAAAATAAACAAATAAAAAATAGGCATTCTGTCGAACTATCAAAAAAAAAAAAAGATAAAATGGGCCTGTTGAGTTTGCTCTTTAAAAAAAATCATAAATCAACATTTTTTATTTGTCATTTTGTTCACCTACAATAGTCAAAATTAGAACTTTCTTTTTATGACACTAATAATTTTTGAAATGTTAGACATTTATATTATACTCTTATTATATTATATTTAAAAGTGATTTCATTGTAACAATATTGAAATATCTTTTTTTAACAAGTGATACTTGGTCTACAATTTTTTGGGGGATGAATACTTTGTAAACTTGTTGAAAGTAATAGTAGTAATTTCTGTGGTTTTTGCATTTTGTTTTATCAAATTGTATCTAGGCTTCTACCATTTTCTTGTTAATCATCCTTGATCTAAACATGCTTTGTCTGTAATTTTTTATGGCCTCACAAAATGTCTTCTGTATATCAAAAGATGATGCTGATAATAATAATAATTATTATAATAATAATAGCTACCATTGATTGAAGATTTATTTTTGTTAAACACTGGCTCAAGACTTTTATTAGTCCTTATAAAAGTTCTGCAGGGTAGGTACTCTTGCAGTTTCTGTTTTACAGATGAGAGTATAAGGACAGGAAATTATTAGCAACTTTGCTGAAGATCATGCAACTAGTCAGTGGCAGAGCAGGACAGCAACAGATGATTTTAGCATAAGACATAATTTAAATCATCTATATATTCCCATTTAGTCACTTAATAATTTCATTGTTTGATAGTTCAATGACTAAATTTTTTCTTTTAAATAAATTTTCAATATTACTTTTTATGTGTTCAAGATTCTTCTTCTTCTCCCTCCCCCACCCAGGATGGGCAACCTGAAATTTTGTATACATTCTGGAATTCAGTTACTCAGAAACTTTCTTCTCAGTTTCATACAGCAACAAATTGTAAGTTTACTCAAATCCACTTCAAGTTTTTTAGTTACTTTAAAATTTGATGTGAATAAGTTTTGCTTTATTTTCTTGTTACTTTAAATCCTCTGGGTAATTGCTGTTTCTTCTAGATGTTTAGTGCAGAATACTTAGTCATATAAAACAGTTTTATAATTAGTATTTAGAATAAAATTCTCTGAAAGAATAAGTTCATTCTACATAATTCAAACATTGGAAGAACTCTGGATTTTTCCTATATAGAGAATATAAAGCAGTTGATGTTGATGAATTAGTTCATGCTTTGGGATTAATTTAGTTCTGAATTAAATGATTTTAAAATTTAGAGATTTCACAGCTGTTTCCTTAATGTTAACAATGAAAATTTAATTATAAACATGTAGATAAAATACCTGCCCCAATAATTAAAAGTTGACCACTCAAATTTGATCTGAAAAACTCAATATTAATTCACTATGTCTTGAAATAATAGCACAGGAGTGGTTTCAAAGAGTGAAATGTAAAAATTGGCTAATATAATTGTGTTTGTTTAATTATTGATGATTAAAGCATTGTGAACATCCCAAGGCTTTTACAAAAAACTTTGAAGAGTGTGTGTGTAGTTAAATTTTATTCACATACATTTACTAAAAGGATCAATTGTTAAGCATTAGTCACTGGGAACTCAGAGTTGAATAGACTATACTACCTGACTTCTTACTTCTGTTTTTAATTAAATATGTAGCAAAGCAGCAACCACAGAGATGGCCTTCATTCTTGTGTGGCCAGACAACCTAAGCAGTGGATTTAATTGGAACTGATTTATTTGCACAAATCCCTCTATTCATCTTGGAAGAGAATACTGTGCATCTCCTTACATTTGGTTAGCTTTGGTTAGCTTCATTGACCTAAAATTTTTATGGAGGAAAAATTCACCAATTTTAGACATAAAATTCTAGGGGTCTTGACAGATGCTCACATTTATATAACTGTCATCACCATTAAGATGTAGAATATTGTCATCAGCCAGGTACATGTCTATAATCCCAAGGTTTTGATTAGGATTGCACTGAGTCTGTGTGTCAATTTGTAATGAATTTACATCTCAAAATTGCATTTTCTCATCCACAGCATGATATATCTCCCTGTTTATTTAGGTTTTTTATATTTTCATTTATTATTGCTATATGGTTTTTAGTGTCTAGCAAATGATGTCATAAATTTAAAACCATTTCTTACATTTTGATGCTATTATAAATCATGTTGTTTTAAAATTTCACTTTATAAGTAATCATTAAATTATATAAATATATTTGATAACTTTATTTTGATCTTCTGTACTGGGAGTTTGCTAATCTTGCTTATTATTTCTAGTAGTTGTTGGAGATTTCTTAGGAATATTCTATACAGATGATCATGTTACCTGCAAATAAAAAGTTGTGGGTTTTTTTTTTTTTTTTTTTTTTCTGTCTGGTTAGCCAGCTTTCTTCCTTTTGTTTCCTTCTTCCCGTTTGTCAGCTTTTTGTTAGACCAAAAGGCCTAACAAGAACAATTAGAGGAGGAAAGGTTTATTTGGGCCTCATGGTTTTAGAAATCATAGACCATAGATGGTCAGCTCCATTGCTTTCAGCCTGAGGTGAGGCAGAACATCATAGCAGAAGGATGTGGAGGAAAGAAGCACCTTGGATATGATTGCCAGGAAATGGAGACAGTTCCACTCACCAGGGACAAAATGAATACCCCAAAGGCATGGATGGCCCCAATGACATACCTCTTCCATCCACACCCTGCATTCCTGCTACCCATTTAATTCATTGAAGTAAATTAAGACATTGATTAAGTTAAGACTATTATAACCCTATCATTTCACTTCTAGATATTTTTGCATTGTTTCACACATGAGCTTTTGGTGAAAACTTCATATTCAAATCATAACACTCCCTTTCTCGCTTTCTTCCCCTTCCCTTCTTTTTCTTTGTATTATTGTAGTGTGTTGAGCTGCTCTGGACAGGAGCTTTGAATGTGGTGAGCCCAGCCATGGGCTATGTGTGTGTGAATTGTAAGCATTGAGCACACAAAGTGGACTGGACTGACATTGCCCCTTTGGGCTGGTGATGTATGTGTCCTTTTTGCTTGCTCTGCCTATGATCCCCACACAGCACATGGGATGGACATGGCCTTCCAAGATGTCATTCTGCTGACAACATGACATCTGGAAGCTAGACTCAACCCCCTGAAACTTGACTCCTTGTCTCATTTGAATAGCTTCTCTGCAATAAAAGGGTTCAGAATGTGCTCCTTGCTCTCTTTCTTGCCTGCCTTGCCTCCTTTATGGGAGCTGGGTCAGAGGAGCCATCACAGAACTCCAAGAAAAAGTATTTCTCTGTGTGTCATTATTTCGTGCCAGCACAGTTCACCTGGAGTAACCCTTACTGGTTTAGTCATATGTTGCAACAGTAGTGCATTATATCTCTGGTACTGTATAGATATAAATAGGGTTGGCATTTTTGCCTTGTTTACCATCTTAGAAAACATTTAGCCAACATTCATTATGATGCTAATTGCAGGTTTTTCAGTGATGTCCATTATCAAATTGAGGGGGTTTCTAATTTGTTGAGACTTTTTATTTTAAATCATTGATTTGGGGGTGGTGGTGGTGGTGGCATGTAACTAGAGGATTACCCTTTAGTTACTGTCTCCCCCCACCCCCACCCCCAATCCCCTTCCCCATCTGTCTCTTTAATCTCTTTCTCTTTTTATCCATATTTCTCAAAAGGCTAGTTTACAAATTTTTATCTTTATTTTCAAACTGTTGATTTCTCCACTAGGTGTAATCTGGCTACTTCCCACTATCCTGATAAAATTGTTTTTATTAAGATAAACACTGACTTACTTCTTAATTGTCTAATACAGTGAAAGTTTTTAGTTCTTACTTAGAGTACGATGTTTTTTTAGGCAGAGATCCTCATTAATATTTCACTTTCAGAGTTGTCTGTTACTTCTGATTACATTGTTATTTTAATAATTTCCTTTGGGAGGACTCCAGAGTAAGTTATTTTTTAAGTGCCTTCCATTTTTCCCTGAAGTGTGCTGTAGTACTTCTTAAAATTAGACAGGCTGTGTTAAAGAATGTAACCACCAGCAAATTTGATTATTATACAAAATGTAAATGACTGTCTAAATAATATTTTGGCAGAATGTATCTAAAAAGGAATTTTCATAGTTAGGAACATATCTTTCCCATTATACATGTGCATGCTTAGTAAAAAGAAGTTCTACTAGAAGTTACAATCAGGAATTTGACAAAGAATAAATTTATTCAAAAAGTAAAAGACCTGGGGCTGGGTTGTAGCTCAGTGATAGAATGCTCACCTTGCATACGGAGGGCACTGGGTTCAATCCTAAGCACCACATAAAAAACAAAATAAAAGCATTAAAATAAATATGTCCATCTACAATTAAAAAGGTTTTTTTTTTTTAAATTAAAAGACCTGAACTTGTTACTGTAAATGTCGGAGGGAGAGACCACCCAAGAGACTGACTCCATGCAATTGGCAAAAGGGGATATTTATTGGGATCCATTCCAGCGCGCTGGGACTCTGTGCTCACTCAAGAAGGGAGAGCAGCCCAGAGCCCCAAGCAGAGGTTCAAACAGAGCTTAAGTACACTTTTTGGGGAGGGCGGGAGGCTTTGCATACATCAGAACAAATCATCATGAGGCGCAGGAAAATTGAACAACAACTCTGAGACATGATTGGCACATTCATTGGTGGGAACAGATCGGGCGGGGGTGATTGGTCATTCCTAAGCGGGGTACACATTCAAACTGATTGGTTCCGGCCCTGTGACAAACTGCACAGGGCCCTAGGCTAAATGGCCAGTAGGGCGTTGTTTTAACTATCTCAGGAATCTGGGTGTAACAGAGGAACTCAATAATACCTAATCTTTTACATTTAAGCTTTCCAGCTTAGAAACTTTACCCTTTCAGTTACCACAAAGTTTCGAAATAGCTCTTATATGAAATCTGCCATTTTAATTATGTATAGGTCATGGTTATTTCCAAAATGACTTCTCAGCCTTTTTTTGTGTTACTTTGCTGTTGTATTTTCCAGCGAATAATATTAACTCAGGAACTTGTTGGGTTATAATGCATATTTTCAAGTCTCAATAGAAACAAGCAAATCACATTTTTTGAACTCTTTGAAATGAAAACACAATTTCCTTTGTAATTGGATGACTTCCACAGAATGTCTCATCATAAATAAATATGCTTTGTTTTTCTCCATAGCTCTTATCAATTTCTAACATATCTTTATATGCCCTGTTATTTATTTATCTATCCTGTCTGATCACCCCCTCCCACTGTTTTGGTCCTGGAAACATCCTTGATGGCTAGAAGAGTACCTGACATGCAATAGGGTTTAAGTAAGTGGTAATTGTCAGGAAGTAAAGAAAAGAAAAACAAAAAAAAGAAGAAAGGTTGCAGTGCTACTTTATGAAAACTTAAGTATTGAAAAACTTTTTTGGGACTGAGAGTGTAATTCAGCAAGAGAGCATTTGCTTAGGTTGTGTAATGGCCCTGGGTTCCATCCCCAAGACCACATAAAACAAAAAATTGTTTTATAAATATGCTTGAAAAATTTTTCAAGTAAAACTTTTGTTTGTTTTAAATGTTTATAACTTCTTGTGCAATGTTAGTCTCTCAAAACTCTTGAGCAACTCAAGGAAATTGTTTATACAGTTAAGAAAACAAATATGGTATATATCTGTAATACTTTTGAAAATCAAGTGTGAACAAAAGAAATAATTAGGTGATTAATATGTTTTAAGCTATAGAATTTTGTGCCGGGCCTTGTGGAACACACCTGTAATCCCAGCAACTAAGGAGGCTGAGTCAGGAGGGTCATAAGTTCCAGGACAGCCTCAGAAATTTAGTAAGCCCCTTACCTAACTGTGTCTCAAAATACAGAAAGAGAACTGAAGGAGAGAGAAGATGGTGGATTAGAGGAAGTTCTCAG